AGCGTAACATTTCTGTCACACGCTTGAGGAATTCGGCCAATCACAACGCACTGGATAGCTGGCCAATCAGAGCATACCTCACTTTTCAGACCGATGAGCTTTGTAAAAATCGATGCGTTTCAGAAAGGCGGGGCATAGAGGAGAAACAATAATGTACAGTATGTGGAAAATAATGTGTTTTTTTAACCTTAACCCGCATAAACACATTTCATTACACCAAATACACAAAATAATGTTCGTTTTAGCAACATCATATGACCCCTTTAATAACAAAAAAAACAAAAGTTATATTTTTGGCAGCTGTAAAAGCCCTTTCACACCAAAAGTGAAATGAATAAGCCTCAGCCTGAAGGAAGTGCCTAAAGGAAGACAGGAGAGGTGTGAGTGAATAAATGGGAAAACAAAGTAACTTGCATTACTTATTTGAAAAAGTAACTCAGATATTTTGTTGTAACTGAAAAGTAATGCATTACATTACTTGTTGAAAAAAAATTAATCTGATTACGTAACTCATGTTACTTGTAATGCGTTACCCCCAACACTGATTACAATATTGCTTAGGTGATAAAAAAACTTGATCAATCGTTGAATTATTAGATGTTTAATGCACATGCAGGATAGTAATGCAACTAGTTGCTCTGTGAGTGTCGTCAATATTTCAATGGCCTGTTGTCAACTAGTTAAAATAAAGTATTCACTGATTGTGTGAGGAGTAAAGTCCAGTGTAATATAGGTTCAGTATAATGCCAGTATAATGTATAATGTCTTTTTTACTTTACAGGGTGAAAAGGGTGATATGGGAGTAGCTGGACCAATTGGGCCTCAAGGCATTCCTGTAAGTGCTGAACCAGGGCACACTTTAACATTTCAAATACTGTTTCCAAATAACCACATATAAGTGCATTCAAATGAAAAATGGACCATCAGTAACTTCCCTCCCCTATGCATTCAGGGTTTAGTAGGACCACCGGGATTAAAAGGAAACCGGGTAAGATTATAAATGCATTTGTAGAATATGTTATTGTGACTTTAAGGGACAATAACATGAGTCCACTTTCTTAAAATAAAGGGATGGATGATATTTCTAAACCAGCATGAATCTGCCAAACTTTTAAGCATTAGATACTGTCCATTATTTTAAAAAAACCTGTAGTTATTTAATTTGTTAAAATAACAATTATGCAATATTAGTTGTAATTGTTATAATTTTTAATTAATGAGACAAGCAGAAGCATGCTGGGTATAAGAAATTAGAATGGCTACTGCTTACTGCTAGAAAATATGTGTACATATACAGTGAGGTCTAAAAGTCTTAAAATAAGAAAATTTAAATCTAAAATGCTTAAACGTGAAAACACAAGTGTTATGCAGTAAATATCGAGTAAAATGTAATGTCTATACTATTTAATTATCATTAAATAGTCATTAATTAAATAAGAAAATGTGTGTGGTCATGTGACTTTTTGTACAGATTGAAGCATGCCCTTTCATTCTCAAATCATGATGAATGAAGCATCAGGATTTACACATGCACAAATGAAATTCAAGTTAAATTGATTCAATTAGTCATTGAAGTATTACATTTAAAAAATGCCACTGTATATGTTCACTGATCATGATTTACACATATATTCTTATTTCAGAACAGTATTTTTGGTAATCCTTATATACATATATTTATTTGCAATTATTCTCTTTGTTTTTGCAGTTCTTATTTTGTTAGTATATAGACACGTTTAGAGTATGTAAACACCTTTAAAGAGACAAAAATATATATTTTTGCATGATTAACAGAAAAACTGACGTATGATATAAATGGCTAAAGTTAAAATGTTCTGCAAAAGAGATATTATTATAAAAAGAATATGAATAGACCATTGCTTTTCTATGCTTTTCCTATGCTTTCATCCTCCTAGACTGAATGCCTCGATCCTATTAACACTAATTTCCTCAGTTAATGACTGAATGTTTCCCACCTTGAATGTCAGGACATGTCAGTGCTCCTCCCAGCATCCTCCACTGGCGATGTAGTAGTGAGCAGGACCAAATAACTCAAGTCTTGGATAATTGTGCTCAGTGGAAGGTGCTGTGGAGGACCTTTGGACACGGTGCTGTTTTTACTCTTGTCCTTTCCTTGTCTTCCTCTCTTTTTTTCCACAGGTCTTCCTATCCCCTTTTCCTCCCCCCGCACCTTGGCCTGTGTCCATGGCTCTTTTTGCTGAGTCGGGCCGGGTCGTCCTCTCTGTCCCCTTCTCACTCGCTGGCCTCCTCCTGCTCCTCCTGCATCCTAATGTTGTAGCCTGGGTTAATACTCCTCCTCTTCCTCACCTACTACTTTTGTTCATATCATTCACTGACCTCCCTACCAACCTGCATTCATTTTCTCCCAATTATTCTAATGCACAGAGTTCTTATTGTTCCACGAAAGCCTCATCTGGATCTCTTTTGAAAAGGCACATAACCAAGCAATGTGGGAAAAGGCATTATGTCAGTGCTGAGCTCATTTTGACATCCTGATGAGAGTATTTAGAAAAAAAACACTCCAGTCGGGAGCCAAAAGTTCAGAAACAGTCTTATAGAATCAGTATTTGTCAAACAGGATTAGAAAATGAGCTCCATGTTGATTCATGATGTAATTCCACTTTGATTTTTTTCTTCTTCCTCCATTAAGTGTTAGAATAACAGTCATGATGAGGGCTGTGCGGAATGTTAGAACTCTGTATCCTAGCTTGGATAGATCCCACTTTGGAAGACTTATAAAGCTTAAATGTAATAGTTTCCTCTGAAGAACCCTTCAATTCGCGTGCAGACTTGAGCATAAATCATGAAACACTCTAAAAGCAGATCTGGTTTTAAATAGTAATAAAGCATAGGGATGTTGATTAAACTGTTTTAGTGCCTCTTCAGTTTTGTAAATTAGCCTTTGTAATTATATTTCATTGACTCAAGAGTTCTATATGGAATCAATCACAGATTGTCTATTTATTGGAGACAACATTTGATGTCAAGATCGGGGAATAAAAACATAGTTCGTTCCATTCAGAAGTGATCACCCAATATGCCATTGACTTCAAAGGTTTAGATATGGGGCTAAAAAAAATAAATGTTGAGTAATCTTTTCAGGCACTTCTGGTTGGAATGACCCTACAATATAGATGCCATGAAGGCATTTATCATTTATCTGTTTAAAAGTTTGGGGTCAGTATATAGTTTTGTTTCTTTTGAAAGAAATTAATACTTTTATTCAGCAAGGACACATTAAATAAAAATAAATTATAGTAAAGTAACATTTATAATGTTACTAAATATTTCTGTTTTTTTATTAATATTTAATTCTATTTAATATTTAACTTTCTATTCAGCAAAGCATCCTGAAAAAAAATCATAAATCACAAAGAAATCATATTAGAATTATTCCTGAAGGATCATGTAACACTGAAGAATGATGCTGAAAATTCAACTTTGCATCACAGGAACCAATTACATTTTAAAATATGTTAAAACAGAAACAGTTATTATAAATAGTAATCATATTTTACAATATTGCTGTTTTACTGTGTTTTTAATCAAATTGATTTAGCCTTGAGACAAAACACTTCTTTCAAAAACTTTAAAAAAAAATCTTACCAACAAAATCAGTTCTTTTGAACTGTAGTGCATATGTAATTGAGACAAATAAAACTAAATACATATATAAATACATAGACTCCCAAGGACATGACCTTTACATAAGTCAATCAATTTTAATCTTATTTATTCTATTCTTGAGTTTAATAAATGTGCTTTTAGTATTTTTCCCTCATTTAAACTTTTTGCAAATAAAAAAGTCAAAGTGATATTAAAATTCTGTCACTTATATGGGTTATAATAATAATAATAATAATTGTAATGTATAAATATGTATTAAATATGTATTGTGAAAAGCGCTTTACACTGTCCAAATAAATGTGCATTAAATTAATCAAGTAAATGAAAGTCTGCACACTAACCACACTGGCTGATCTCCTTCTCCTTAACCCCTTCACTTACCCTCCTTAAATGATCCCACTACTCATCATAGCTCCATTCAGAAACACAGCTACTCTCAGAATGTCTTGTAGAGCATCTAAAGTCTCTTACAGTTATTCATAGTGATGGTGCTTTTCTTACTAGTACTGCTATAGTAGACTAGGAGGACTAAAGTCTGACTTTTTTGAATGCACTGTTGTTTGCAGGGGGAGAGGGGCAAGAAAGGCAACAGGGGGGCCAAAGGGGATAAGGGAGACCAAGGAGCCCCGGGATTAGATGCCCCGTGTCCCTTGGTATGTCTTTCGTTCAACGTGCAGCACTAAGGCAAAAGGAGACTTCCCGAAAGCCACGCCTCCTTATGTCTTTGTGTAATAAACACTAACAGATGCCCAGAAGAGTTCTGGTCGAAGTCTGTGAATTACAACGTATATACAACATAGAGACTCATATGTTACTCGCGCATTATATTAGAACTATTATAGATGGGGATTTGAATTAAAAATGACTAGGCACCAGAACTCTCAATGGGATGTTTGCTTTTCAGGAGTAAGACTGACAGGAATATGGTTCTGCTGAACACAGTAGGATGGAACCCCTAGTTCAGTAACTAAATGATGTGAGTTTCCAGCCCTGTGGATGCAGCAGGTCTCTTCCTGTCAGTCTCGGGTCCAGTGTGCTCTGGGCCAATCGGACGCTGGAACAGAGCGGCCAGTGTAGCTGGACAACAGGATGTTTATATGATTGATTTCATGAACAGGGTTTCCGAGGCTTTAAAGGAGAGAAAGGTGAACCGGGGCTGCCAGGCCTGGACGGGCTAGATGCCCCGTGTCCCGTGGTATGCTGCTGTCTATCCCTTTCCTTATTCCGCATGCTTCCTGCTTTCCTGAACCAGTCATGCTTTCTAATTGCATAATGCTTCAGCACAGCCCGATTAAAGTCCCTCTAAAGTCAATTCTGAGAATTGTTTCTAAATGCATTATAAATGTTACAAATGTATTGCTGAAACACATTACAAAGACTGTGAATTATGTAGTACTGCATAGTGGAGTTAGACCGTTAAACAGTTTTTCACCAATTCTGTGTTCAGGATTTTTTGGGCGGGGCTAAAACGGTGGCTTGATGACGCACTGGAGCCACCGATCATGGCCCCTCCCCAAACACTATAGTAACTGTCGATGACACACTGGCGCAAATATGTATGGCTTTGTAAATCCAATTAAGCTGCTAGGACTGCTGTGAATGGGTGCCGTCAGAATGAGAGTCCAAACAGCTGATAAAAACATCACAATAATCCACAAGTAATCCACATGACTCCAGTCCATCAGTTAATGTCTTATGAAGTGAAAAGCTGTTTTTTTTTTACTTTAAACAATCGCTTCGGGTTAAAATACTAGTCTATAAATCTATAATAATACTTCCTCCAGTGAAAAAGTCCATCCACTGTTGTCCTCTCACATCAAAATCCACAGACATATTTGTTTAGAACTGCTTTGTAATGTTTTTTCCTTGTAAACGATGCTTGATCTGTGTATATTTCTCTCCTGATTCAGACAACACAACTTTTTCACTGGCGAAAGCAATATTATGGATAGAGGACTCATTTTGTAGTTAATGATAGATTTGTTTCTTACAAACACTCAGATTTCACTTCACAAGACATTAATTGATGGACTGGAGTCGTGTGGTTTACTTGTGGATTATTGTGATGTTTTTAGCAGCTGTTTGGACTCATTCTGACGGCACCCATTCACTGCAGAGGATCCATTGGTGAGAAAGTGATTTCTGCAAATCTGTTTTGACGAGACAAACTCTACATTTTGGATGGCCACTATTTAAAAATGTTTCAAAACAATTAATTGATTTATATAATAAAATAATACAAATCTAACAGTTTGTTTTCACCAATACATAAGGTTTAACTTTCTAAATTTCTGTTGAATATGGATAACATATTTAGACTACTAGGATTGTTGCTACTAAACTAGTTGACTTTTTTAATGTTTAACATGACTGCATGCGTTCCATTTTCATTTCACTTATCTTTGTATTCAATATTCTTACACTAACCCACATTTTGTCAAAATAATCCTCCACTACATTTCACCACATCTGTTTCAGTCCAGTAAATTGTAGCATCCATGGGTCACCACAGATATCTGCATGAGAGAAAGTGTTTACTGGAAATGCATTGTTGCAAAAAGCAGGCATCTTGACTGGTCATTGTTTTCATGGATACCATTTAAATTGTCAAGAATGAGAACACTTTGAATTGAATGAAATATCCAAGTGCATACTGTAGATGGATAGATAGAATAGTATAATTATTATAAAATTATAATTTTAGTTGCCACTATGTGTTTATGTTTGTGTGCACGGACAGTCATCTATTGATTGATTGACTGATTGACTGCAGAGGGGAAATGGAAATGTATGTTTCAAAAGTGACTTTTGAAAGGATTATATATGCTATATGCGCATGGATACGGTTATGTCTCCCTTCTCAAGAAAATTACTAATTCTTACCGTTCTTCACCACTCCTCTTCTTTGTTTTAGGGTGATGATGGTTTGCCAGTACCAGGGTGTTGGAATAAAGTGAGTTCTATTGACTGATCATATCAACATTTTGGTTTTTAAATAATTGTGGCCATACCATCCTTACTATGATAACTCGTGCGCTGAATTTGTCATATGGAGGTATAGATTTAAAAGTGAATATATTAACAGTCATCTATAATAAGTTTAGAATGTGTAATCATAATGTAATACAAATTGGTTTAGAAATTATTTCGAGCATTACTCAATATAGAACTAAACATTTTCAGTCTGCTAATATGATACTTTATGATCAGTTGTTTAGAATATGATTTGAGATTTACTGTCGATTTAACATTTTAAGAATAACTCTATACCTCCATTTGCTCGGAAGGTGTGTGCTTGAAAATAACTCAATCTTTTTGCCTCTTGTTTTGCAGTGACATTAATTCCTGAGTGCCATGTGTGATTGTAAATAGAATATTTATTTTTGTACTTTTTTTGCCATTGATCTGTTATATCGATGGAAAATACAGCAAACCATAAAAATACTGGCAGGACTTTTGTACAGATGTTTATTTTTATTACTGGTAATGTTGTTTATGTAATGGACTTTATACTGTACCTATGCATTATGTCAAGATGTTTTTTTTTTATGGAGGAAGAAATATACTGTGGCAGCATATGCATGATATTTGTGCATTATGTTAACTGATAAGTGCCTATTAACTTATTGTATCATGGTGTTTTAATGTGTTGTGTCGGACCACGCTGCACTGATTAGTGGGGCTGGAGTTACAAATTGGCCTTGTGTGTAAGAGGAAACCCTTTGCTCTGAGATTAACATGTTCACACCACACCTAATGAGCTTACACTGTAACTGCATATGTTTACTGAACATTAAAATGACTTATTTCAAAGTCCATACTACATGCAGTAGAATTATCAAGTCAGTTGTTTTATATGAGTTTCAGTGCATACATTATGAACATTTGCACTGCATGGCTTAAGTGAGTTTTCTCCATATTCACCTGCCATTTTTTGCCAAATATATTATTGCAAATGGCTTTATGTAAAGAAAAGAATGACTTAAGTCCACACGCAGTGCTTTGCCTTGATGGGTTTCATGTAAATATGCCTAAACCTTGCCCTTTGAGCAGCTATTTTTTCTCTGTTTATTCTTATTTCTGGCAATTTAATAGCATAGTCGATAAATGTAATTTACATACTTAGGCAATTCATTTAGTCTTAATTTATCTCGTACATATTGCTGCTCACTGTCAAGCACATATCTGTGTTTGTTAATAAGCATCAGCACAACCATTCAAAAGTTTGGGGTCAGTCTTTTTTTTTTTTTTTTAGATAATAGTACTTAAGCAAGGATGCATTAAACTGATCAAAAGTGTAACTTTTTAAGCAGCAAATCAGCAAATTAGAATGATTTCTGAAGGATCATGTGACTGTGATGATGCTGAAAATGTAGCTTTGATCACAGGAATAAATTACATGCTTATACACTTATTTTAAATTGTAAAAAATATTTCACAATATTACTGTTTTTAAGGTATTTTGACTAAATAAATGCAGCCTTGGTGAACATAGAGTAAGTGACTCCTTTCAAAAATCTTACAGACTCCAAACTTTCGAATGGTAGTGTATGTCCCGTTTTACCTCATCCATAAGTAAAAATGAAGAATCACATGACATGCCATTTACATCATAATATGTTTATTCCCAACAAAATTATCAGGGTCATAAGAAGGCCCTTAGCTAAAATAGTTTTATTTGTTTTATGTTCATTCAGTGTTGAAGTGGATTGTGTAGGATTGCTGCTGCTTACATTGACAAGCTATTTGGGTTCCATTTTGCCACTTAATATCAAGTTAAGCATGGTTTGTAATCACGTGTCTATAAACATTTTATCTGTCTGTAATACCTCATACTAACATGTGCCTTAATGCTTTTACTCTGCCAAAGTACTTTTGAGACATGTCAACAATAATGTCGAAGCTATGCTGTCAACATGAGGAATATAAGATAATAAATGGCTGTAAAAAGCCAAAACGTTTTCAAACACGTCTTATTTATTCATATGTTCTCTCTTTGATTTGATATCCTAAGAAGATTCTCATTTTTTAACTCTTTGTTTGCATAGCTATGACATGACGTTTACACAGAGACTAAGAAAAATTAACACCCTCTGGATGTTTACATGCTGAAGTTGTGCTTGTTATTGTGATATGCATCTGACGAAAGTGTGAAAACTGCATCAGTGGGTTTCAGGATTGTGTTATGTTGTGTGAGGCCTTCTCCGTATGTCATTGCTGCAGATGTCCGCTACAAATATGTATGTTTCTTTTATTAAAAGGGTCAGAATCCGTTCCAGCTCGCCAAGAAGTAATCCTGCAGTGAGATCCACGAGCTTCTGGTTCGATTTCCTTCATAAGCAACACAAAAACTTGAAGAGATCTTGGGAGATCTTTGAGTTTGGGGGCTGTTTGAAGGGTTTAGTTTCCTGTATAAGCATCCAGTAGTACTGAAGGACTCCAGAGGGCAGCAGATGTGAGACTGGACTACAGAAAAGACGATAATGCAAGAAGTAGCCTGTCTGTTCTCCAAGTTTTACACCTTTTGCTTTCTCTTTTATATTGTTCACTATGTGAAAGAAACATTTTAGCACATTTCGTTCCTTGTTGCTGACGATGTTAAATAATGTTTGTGATCAGAGGATCCAGCGCAGCTCGTTGAACATGCAGATGTGGTCTGAGTGTCCTTGTGTTTCCAGACAAACCAAAGAAAGACAAAATCGTTGATGATTCCTGATTCTAACTATCACTGCCTTCTGTCGAGAGTTGCAGGTAGAATGTAACCTCACACTTCACTCCTACTCGCGTTTATTAGTAGTATTTAAAGGTGCAATGTGTAATATTTACATCGATCTATTGACAGAAATGCAATATAATATACATAACTATGTTTTCAGAGGTGTATAAAGACCTTACTTAATGGACCGTTATGTTTTCATTACCTTAGCTTGAGCAATTTATAGCTACATCTTCTTCTTCTTTACATTTTATTGGCGGTTGGCAAACCAACTGAAAGGTGCATTTACCGCCACCTACTGGACTGGAGTGTGGGTTATATCTACGTACACCGCGGGTCCCCTTACATGGAAGTTGCCACCATGTTTCTACAGTAGCCCTAAACGGACAAACTGCTCTACACAGCGCGTTTCGTCACTTTGTTGTTCTTGCGAATAAAACACTGACACACTGATGAACAAGTACATTAATATTCGCAATAATATCGATTTATAAAATAATTAAGTAAATATAATTCCTTAATTTACCTTTGTAAAGAACTCTCATTGCTCTCTGCTGTCTTTATCGACGACATCTTAGTCCTGTATCGGCCACCGTAGCTTCTCTAAAGGGAGGGGTGAGCGGGGGACTGAGCCGTTGGTTGCAATTCGCAACCTCACCACTAGATGCCGCTAAAATTTACACACTGCACCTTTAACATGGATGTGCATAACCGTCCTGCTTTGCATTATGCATACATGTATTACAGTACATTCATACAACATAATGTTGTGCTTGTACATAGCATAATGTTATAGTCTAGCTTTAAAAAGTGAGATTAGAATAAGTTGTACAGCTGAAAACAAAGTTGAAAACTAAATGTTACTTCACAAAAACAGTTTTCAAAAATTGCAACATGGGCATTTGATGGTGTTGCAACATGCATGCAACATTTCACTGCTGTAAACATAGATGCCAATGCTGACTCCATCTGTATATTTTGCCAACTCTTTGAAATGCAAATAACTTTGCAGTTTGTTTGGGTAAATCTAGTCGTACAGAACGGCTGTACTTTTCAGATTGTATTGGGGCAGCTAAAGCAACACATTGAAACCAGCAGTGACACATTGGGCGTTTAATTTATCATTGGTTCAACACACGTTCGAACTTCAGATAAACTATTTGTTTATATGAAGTGTTTATGCCTACAACTGAGTAGAGACAAAAAACATTTTTGACCCGAAAGCTAATTTTGGTTGTTATTATTACCAGAATCACAGAATATACAGTACTGCTATGGGATGACAACACCACATCAACCATAACAGGGTTTGTGAGGGAAAATAATCTTTAATTACTTTTAAAATTGTAATCTGGATTTTGATGTGGTGTCATATGTACCAGCCGCTATGTTTTTTTTAACCTAATGCAAGCATTCCTTATATTATACTTCGACTGTTTCAGAACAGATTGGTTGTATATAAACCCACTGTAAATGTAGAGTCTCATTAAATCTTCCATTATGTCTATTTTAATAGATTAAGGTGTTATCCAGATAACAAGATAATTAGTATTTAAATTAAATGAGTTTGCATTCAACTCATTAAAGCCTCCTATTTTCTCATCAGTACAGGTTATTGTTTTCATGGTAATCTGAATTAAATACTAAAAAATTATAACGTTAAAATGTGTTTATTTGAAACTTTGATTATTGGATTATAAATGACTGAAAATCTACTTTTATTTATTTTGAAGACTTAAAGTTGAATGATATATGTGTTAAAAAAATAGCATTTCGTAGTGATACACTCTTAAAAATAAAGGTTCTTCAGTGGGTTATCGGGGCACATTTTCACTGTTCAAAGGTCTTGACTATATGATATTCTGAAGATTTAGAATGCTCTTGATTGATTTCTAGGATCTTTAAATCACAAATAATCAGTGCATCAATTGTTTTTTAAAGAATTGGCATTAGGCTGTAAGTCATGCTGATTTATGGTGTCAGGCTGTAAAGCCCTTTATTTTTAAGTGTGTTGACGCCTGTATATTTACAGACATGCATTATTTTATGCCAGTAGGTACAGAATAATTCATATTTGCAACAAATTTCAGATTATAATAACTGCCAAAAAGAAGAGAAATACTTTTTAGTTGTTATATTCTCAAATTGGTTGCACGTGTATCACTCATTCTGGACCCACTCACATAATGCTAAATTTACAATGCTCAAAAAACAGGATGAATCTGATCTTATGCATTATACTATATTAGCATTGGGTGATTTTTTTTTTTTTTTACTTTAGGGCATGTTGTAGAGTGTTTTTCGTTTTATTGTACACAAGGCATCGTTTCTTTTTTCTCAGTATAATTTTGCACATTGAAGTGGGTGTGACTTTTTCCATGTTTTGAACAAGAATATAATATTTGTACTGTACATCAGGCGTTTTCTACACATTTCCCTTTTGACAAACATTGTGATCTTGTATTGTCCTTTGTACAGTGTACTCTTCAAATAACGTGTCACTCCAATATAAATATCCTGACTAGATTCAAATCTGCGACACAGCATTTAAAGGAATACAGTAGTTCACCCAAAAATTGAAGTTTCCAAGATGTAGACGAGTTTGTTACTTCATCATAAAAACAGATTTGGAGAAATGTAGCGTTACATCACTTGCTCAGCAATGGATCCTCTGCAGTGAATGGGTGCCAAGTCCAAACAGCTGATAAATACATCACAATAATCCACACGTAGGCTAATCCATTAGACTTCAGTCCATCAATTAATAATAATCCATAATTGTTGCTATTGTGATGTTTTATCATCTTTTTGGGCTCTCATTCTGACGGCACCCATTCACTGCAGAGGATCCATTGCTGGGCAAGTGATGTAATGCTACTAAATTTCTCCAAATCTGTTCTGATCTGTCTCTTCTACATCTTGGATGGCCTAAGAGTGAGTACATTTTTTTTGTAGAAAACTTTCATTTTTGGGTGAACTACTCCTTTAAATATTCACCTCTCCAGATAATCTTTTGATACAGCTTTTTTCTTTTGTAAGATATCTATGTAATGTATATATATATATATGTTTGAATAGTCAGTTATTTACCATAGTATAAATTGACCTTTAATGAGGAGTACCCTTTCAAAACAGCTGTCAAGTTCAGCTAGGAACATTAACCAAACTTGTCAGTTGTAGTTTTTGATGCCAGTTTATTCTTGGATCATTTGGATCTCTGCATCACTGCCTACGTGAGCACTGCTGTCTTTTAGAAGGAGTTTAGACTTTGTTCACCTGCTGCTCACAAACACATTTTTCTTTACATTTTTCATCAAGTGTGTTTCATACCGAGAACAAACATATTATCAAACATTTTGTGTGATATCTTTAATACTGTTGTTGTATGTAATTGAAAATGGATGAGGGCATTTATTTCTGTGCTTGTACGTGCAAATGCAAGATAAATTGCAACCACTTGCATGGTTATTATGCACCTACTTGTATACATTTACATTTAAAGTGGCAGTCTGACTAACATGTTACGGTCTGTTTGACTAAAGGTTGATTTTAGGGTTAT